TCTCTCTCTCTCTCTCTCTCTCTCTCTCTCTCTCTCTCTCTGTGTGTGTGTGTGTTTGTGTTTGTGTGCATCAATTAAAGCAGCTCATTAATATGGAACGGTGATTAAACTGACTTGGAACTACCTGTGCATTAAACGGTTTTACTGCATACCTGCCAGCCAATCAGAATCCAGTATCTAGACAGACCATGGAATAATTAGATTCAAAACTTCTAGCAATCCTTAATTTTTTGGCCTTTTTTCAACGTACTGTGGTTTCTTTATTTCTTTATTCTTTATTTGCGACTTCGCTAATTTGCGCTGCACTTGGTATATTGTGTTGGTCGATATGTAAATGAGATGTTGCGTCTGTGTTCTTTAATTTGCGTATTGTTAGTAAATCACCCACAGAAATTTCCCCTCCCATCGGCGCTGTTTTGGAATTGCGCTCTTGCGCTAATTTGTCCTGTTTAGTAAAACTGGCCCCTAAAGTACTAAAATAAAAAATTTTGCTTGCAAAGAAATGTACAGATTGGACCTCTTGAACTTGAATTGAATACCACTGCTTTATGCTGAATGTATTGAATTACCTGAATTATTCAATGGTGTCTCTCTTCTTCTGTAGACGGATGTGTTCATCGCCATGGAACTAATGGGGACGTGTGCAGAGAAGCTGAAGAAGCGGATCCAGGGGCCCATTCCAGAGGCCATTCTGGGAAAGATGACCGTGGCCGTAAGACTTCCTTTAAATTCACCTGTTTCAGAATAGTATCTATTATTGGTTAGATATTGGTCTGTTTCCAAGTTGAACCTCTCAGATCTCTTGTTATCTTGCTCTTCTTTTCCTATGTAGATCGTAAAGGCTCTGCTTTATCTAAAAGAGAAACATGGTGTCATTCACCGAGACGTGAAGCCATCTAATATCCTGTTGGATGCCAAAGGTCAGATCAAACTGTGTGATTTTGGCATTAGCGGCCGACTGGTAGATTCTAAGGCCAAGACTCGCAGCGCCGGCTGTGCTGCCTACATGGCGGTAAGCACATGGTCCCAGAGTTTGAGTTTCAGAGTCATACAGTTTCAGGATTTTGAAAAATTTAAAATAAATACATAAAATATTATGAAGTGAAATATTATGCATCGTGCATATATTTTTTTTTTCTAGCCTGAGAGAATAGACCCTCCAGACCCCAGTAAGCCAGACTATGACATCAGAGCTGACGTCTGGAGTCTTGGCATTTCTCTGGTGAGTTCTTCCTACATTTTGTTGAGCCAACACTTGTTTATTTGGATTACTTTGCTGACCAACAGTTGGATATGTGTAGGGGGTGTTATAATTAATTATAATCACTCTCATTTAATTTTTATCAAAACTTTGGGATCAAGAAAGAAATTAATACTTTTATTCAGCTAGGATTTAAACAAATTCTGCTCTGCAATCAGTTATTTTAAATTTAAGTAATATTTTACAATATTTCTGTTTTACTCAAATTTTCATTAAATAAATGCAGCTTTGGTGAGCACAATAGACTTCTTTAAAAAACATTTAAAAAATCATACAGACTCCAAACTTTTGAACGGTAGTGTAAATGTAAGTAAAGAGCTGTATTTCAAAATACAATCTACTAGGGGTGTAACGGTACATGTATTCATACCATATGGTTCACGGGGCAAATTCCAAATGGAAGTGATCATCCCTATGCCTTTGAAGGGCAGAGCCCTTGGAGTGGGGACTTTGGAGTGAGCAGGGCACGTGTGTGCCATTATGTAGTCGTTTGGAATGCACTTGGCAAAGGGAGCGAAATAATTTCCTCATTATCTTCAGCTGGCATGTTCCCGTGACAACGCAGCACGGTGTCCGTCAGCAGATGTCGCTGTTTTACTGGCATATATGTCTTTTTATTGTTGTTAGCATAACAGTTGCTAATAAACATACATTTTATATATATATATTTAAAATATGCTATATAGTATATGAAAACTAATATATATAAAACTTTTTAAAATATAAAATGTATATTTTTTTTATGCCGGTGTATGTCAGCGAATCAGCTGACGGACACCGTGATGGGTTGTCATGGGAACATCCCAGATTAAAGGGTTAGTTCACCCAAAAATGAACCTTGGCTTGTAATATATATAAAACTTTTTAAAATATAAAATGTATATTTTTTATGCCGGTGTATGTCAGCGAATCAGCTGACGGACACCGTGCTGCGTTGTCACGGGAACATCCCAGCTGAAGATAATGAGGAAATTAGGTCGCTCCCTTTGCCAAGTGCATTCCAAACGACTACATAATGGCGCACACGTGGCCTGCTCACTCCAAAGTCCCCACTCCAAGGGCTCTGCCCTTCAAAGGCATAGGGATGATCACTTCCATTTGGAATTTGCCCCGTGAACCATACGGTACGAATACGTGTACCGTTATACACCCCTACAATCTACATGTGCAACTATAAGTAATTATTCCTCCTCACCTGTAGGTGGAGCTAGCCACGGGACAGTTTCCTTACAAGAACTGCAAGACAGACTTTGAGGTCCTCACCAAAGTTCTGCAAGAGGACCCGCCGGTCCTTCCTCTCGGCATGGGCTTTTCCCCTGACTTTCAGTCCTTTGTCAAAGACTGGTACACTCACATGAATTTACATAAACGTGAAATTTTAGCACCATTATCTGTCTATTGTGTTTACGTGTGAGTCTTCTCTGTCTCCACAGCCTCACAAAGGATCACAGAAAAAGGCCAAAATACCACAAGCTGCTTGTAAGTCTCAGTCTCCCATGTAACTTGAGCATTTGTTGTTTAAAGTGATAGTTGACCCAAAAATGAAAATTCTGTCATTAATTACTCACCCTCATGTCGTTCTAAACCTGTAAGACCTTCGTTTGTCTTCGGAACACAAATTAAGATATTTTTGATGAAATCTGAGAGCTCTCTGACCCTCCCATAGACAGCAAGGATCCTAAATCAAGGTCCAGAAACGTAGCGAGGACATTGTTAAAATAGTCCATGTGACATCAGGGGTTCAACCGTAATTTTACGAAGCTACGAGAATACTTTTTGTGCGCCAAGAAAACAAAAATAACAACTTTATTCAACAATTCATCTCCTCCGCGTCGCCCTGGCGCCATTTTGGAGAGTATCACATATGTAAACAACATATGTATGCGGATACCTTGTTTACGTTCAGATCAAAGCGTAAACAACTTAACTACGTATCCGTGTACATACGTTACATACACACCTTACTACGTTTCTGGACCTTGATCGTGTAAGGATCCTTGCTGTCTATGGGAGGTTCAGAGAGCTCTTCGGAATTCATCAAAAATATCTTAAATTGTGTTCCGAAGATGAACGAAGGTCTTACAGGTTTGGAACGGCATGAGGGTGAGTAATTAATGACAGAATTTTCATTTTTGGGTCAACTATCCCTTTAACATCAAACATCTTGTATAGCCTGTTATGATCATGTGTTCACACTAGTGCTCTTTTTTTTTTCATAGGAACACAGTTTTATCCGTCGTTATGAGGTGTCAGAAGTAGACGTGGCGGGCTGGTTCCAGACGGTGATGGAGCGCACAGAGTCTCCTCGCAGCAGCCAGTGCTTCAGCCATCACCAGCTCCACTCTCTCTTCAGCAGGTAGCCAGACGGAGAACGAGAGAAACGGAGGGATGCCGGGAGAGAAAGAATGATGCTATTGTGAAAGGTTGATTTAGAGACACAGATGGACAGGTTTGAAATATAAATTATGTAAACGAGAGAGACAGGATGGAGTGGAAATGGACTGTTTGAGCGATGGCTGAAACAAAAGAGAGAATGTTCATTTGGGAGTTTGACTGATCGACAGACAATCCTGGGCAGGTTTGATATAAATCTGAAATATTTTTGTCCTTCTCATCCACCCATCGAACAGGATGGACCATTACAGGTTGCAGTCTTAACACGGTCACTGTGACACACGCGCACATGCACATTTACAGTAATGCACTGTTTCACCAAACCACGATCACTGACCGCCGTATAAAGGTTAGCCACAAGAGTAAGCGTACAGTCCGTTCACTTCAAAATCCAAATCCACATGTCATAAAGTCCTCCGTAGCCCCTTACTCAGGGACTGAACAGAGTAGTCGAACAACACTGTGCAATGGTGTGTGAGTGTGTGTGTGTGTGTGTGTGTGTTATCCGTTTATCAGTCCTAGCTCTTCACTTTCTTGTACGGTTTAAGCAATTAGTGAGATAATAGCAGTGTGATATATCAAAAACTATGTTTTATAGAAGTGTTCTTTTGCTAGCAAGCATCAGCAGATATTTCAGTAATTGTAACGTGTACTTAAAGAGTTAGTGATTCTTAGTCGTAGAGCTTCTAATCGTTGGTGTTTAGATTGTTATAACTAGTTTGGTCTGGAATTTCATGTATTGAAGTAGATGTATTGGCTAAGAGAGAAGGTTGTATATTAAGATAAAACTAGTGGTTGACCGATAAGATGAAGTGTGTATCCCAATTTAATATGCAGAGACAACTATAAATGACCAATTTTTGTTTGTCTGAAAAACCTGACTCAGCGACATTGGTTAAACCAATGGTGTAAATCTGCTTTGACTAATGGCAGATGGGGGAAATGTTCAGGAAAACCTGTGTGAAAATATTATAACATTTTAAGTGTCATCGGTATTTGTGTAATTCCGTTACGCTAGTCATTCAGAAATTACACACTTCACTTTCATTGACCGATGACGATATCTTGAAACAATTCTGTTCATCGGCCAATTAATCTCAAAATGGCCAAATATTGGATTATGTATCGGTCTATCACTAGATAAAACACAAAAAAATTAGCCCAGAATGTGTAAAGTTGTATACAGTGCACACCTCAGGAAGACAAGTGTTAGAAATGGGTATTTTAACAAGATTTAGCTGTGTTTCAGTCTTAGAGTGCGAGGAAGACACCGCAATCAAGTCACCAAAAGCATAAGATGAGAGATGTTGTCATAGTCACTCAGAGTGGTGTTGAGAGACAAGCGGGTTTGTGCAGCGAGAGCGGTTCATTTCGAGCGTTTCCTCCACAAGAACAAAAAAACATTTCTGCTCTGATTCACCCGACTCATCAACCCAGACAACCGTTCTTCATTTCATTCTCTTCACTGTTCTCGTTTTCCCATGAGCATTTGAGTTCCCGCAAAACCAAAGCTTGTTTTTTTTTTTTGACACGGCACTGCTTTTTTTTTTCTTTCTGCCAAGCTGTTGTTCTCAGAGGATTTCAGCACCTGCTCGTGGGTCGTGCCTGAAGATGTTCAGCGACTTTCACAACCAAAGCTGTAGAGTTTGAGAGTCACTGCTTTAAAAAGCCAAATCACTGCTAGACTGAGTGAGAAAGCGTGCGAGAAGAAAGAAAATATGACTAAACGAATCAGCAGAGAGATTTAGATGGTAACGGTACGTTGAGACAGGAAGTATGGTGTTATATAAGGGACTGAAGAAAGAGTAATGAACGTAGCAGAGGAAAATAGGAGGAAGGCATAAAGAAAGTATTAAAGAAAGTCTCCGGTGAAGTCTTACAGAAAGTATCAGCTGATTTTTAGAGACGGTAACAGGTGTTGGTTGTTTTCTAGATTGCTAGCTGGACGTTGCATAAAAGCTTTCAATTGTTTTGAACCAATGGTTAATTAGTTTGTGTTGTTTTGCATCGTACTGTTTTTCATTATCCTTGAAACTTTGTTTGCTATTATTATTACTATTATTATATTTATTTATTATCTTACTTGCTGCTAATGTTTACTTTAGATGCTGCTGTCAATGATCATATTCCCCAAAGGAAAATCTTCTTTTTTTCTTTTTTTTCTGAACCAAATGCATAAAACACTGCAATGTCTACACATTTACCAAATACGAAAATAATTACCTGTAAAATGCATGATGTGATCCTTTAAGAGGAAAAGAGAAAGCAAGCCAGGAAGTGAAGTAAATATATAGACCTATATCTATATTTATATCAGCATAGTTTGTTTTTGAAACTACGCCACTATGCCAACTCACACAAACATCGCCGCTCACTGTATGCAACTAATAAGAATGACTTCCAGTTATTTGTACAAAATAACAGACACCAGCTGGTAATATCTGTATATATTTGAGCTAGATTTCCTTCGTTGCACCATTAGCTGTGGGTCACGCAGGCAGATATGTTTGTAATTGTCCTCCCGTGTCCGTCCTGCGGTGGATGAATTCATGAATTTTGAATACATTCTCCTCTTTAAATATTTTATGCTAATGTGTCAATTAAATACATTTTTTTAGTCAAGGAATTCTGTATATTTTACCGCAGATTCTAGATTTCCATTCGTTTTCCATTGAATCAGATTGACAAATCAGTCAAAAGATCAGAAAATGCTTTGTTTTTCTAACACTATACTATAGCAATGATCTGTAACCGTTTACCTCCTAATAGTTTCTTCACTCCTTTCAGATGCCAAATAGAATCTCTAACTGGACTCTCGCCGTCAACTTAACACTGATTTCCTGTTTGGCGTTGATGTTCATCACAAATACTGTGGTGCCTGCCTGTCTGTCTGTCCGTCATTCTCTCAGTAGACCTTATAGATACGACCCAGCATTACACACCAAAGGTGTCATCAATAAAACAAATTCAAACCAGTGGCGTTGTCGTCGTTAGGATGATTATTGTTATACTAGATGATGCTGGATTGTTATTCTGAGGACCTCGGATGAGGGATATACAGCTTCATGGATGTAATTTCCTGTGAGACAGTGGCGGGGCACCCTTCACTGTTGGGGTTTTATTTTGCTCACACACACACCTCTATGGAAATATGATCTGAGATGCTAATCTATATGGTTTATGCTTGGTTTAAAGTGTACTTCCATTCACTGTTTTCTGGCACTATTTTCATTTGTAATTCTTGTTTTTTTATTTGCTTTCTGAAATCAAAGCATCAGTTCTTTAACGTTTTTCCAAAACGTTTTTAGAAAAAGACACTTTTGCCTTTTTATGTCTGACTTTTTGATCTTAATATTGATTATAGGATTTTTACTTTTATCATTGTTGGCTGATTTCAAGCTGTTAATGACATTGTGTCGTTTGTATTGATTCTTGACCTTTTGTTTGTTTTTCTTCTATGTTGTATTTGTGTTCCATTGATCTGTGAATGAGTGCTGAAAGAGGTTTTAGCAAGACATTGTGTCTTCAGCTGTTAGAAAACCAAAAGTCTATTATTTTGTATGCATTTTGGTCCTTTGTAACCATTTATTTTCAACTTTGAATACAATTACCATTTTGTTTGTCTTATTACAGTTGTTACTATTATCTTCAGGGTTAAGATCACACCAAATTAAGAGAAAAGTGGGACATATTGCGAGTTGTTTCAAAATATTTCTGGGGAATGTTGCGTCAAAGTTGTGTCTTTTTCTGTTGAAGCTAAGCAATCATTTATTGTTATTTTTTTCTTTTTTGGTAACGCATTGTCTTCCCCCCCCCAGAGCTGTTATTAGAGCTCTGATTTGCTGTATGGTTACAATGTGTTTTTATGTGGAAATCTCACAATTTTTAGCTGCTGTTGCACTGGAGGATTTTGTTATTATTATTATTATTATTATTATTATTAATTGACTTGGAGTTTAGAACCATGTAGTTCACCAAATTCTATTTAATTGATAGATGGAGTTTAGAAATGTTTAAACCTGCTAATTCTGGTTGATGCAGCCATTGACATGCTGTTCAAATAAAAAAGAACCATTTGTTGGCATATTTCAACAGCTTGAAAAATATATTGCAAAAATTAGAAATGCTTTGTGCCAACAAATTTAGACAACCTTATATGTTCTCTGGTATATGGATACATGAAAGTTATAGAATATAGATATGATGCAACATTTTTGCTAACATTTTGGGATTAGTTTGATTTAATCTAAGATATTTGATGTAGTATGTTAAAAATAAAGCACGAATAATGTAGCTTGTCTTAGGTGATTTTTTTTTAAATTTTTTTTTTTACTTTTATTTATTTTGCTTTTTTGGGGTACCATCTTAATATTATATATGGAGCAGAAGTATCTCAACCTGTTGTATTGTATTGAGAGACAGCCATCAGTTTTATCATTTTGATGTCCTCCCTTCCCCACTTTTTTTTTTGTTTCCTCATTTCAAATGAAAGAAATGCCATTATATTGTGAATACCTCAGGATTTTTTTTTTCTTTTGGGAAAAATTAAAAACTTTCTAAAACCTAAAACAAGTGTTCATGTGGTTTATTTTTATGTAGCTACTACAATCAGACCTTTACTGAGCTTTCTGCCACAATTGGTTGCTAGGGATTATTAAAAACTCTCCAAACATTTTGTTAATCAAAATAAGTCAAGTTTTCTTTTGGCTATACAGCATGAAAAAATGCTAGTTGGTTTAGTACAAATGTACTTTCTAGTCAATATTAATATATAAACAAAATATATAAAATAGCCTACTGTACTATATTCCTCTGACTTCTGCAATGTCAGAATGGAATAATTAGGAAATTTAGTTAGTTTACTGAACGCTGTAATATACTATAACGAATATACTTTAACATGCAACGATAAATAGTTAATAATTTAACAATACTTTCTTGAAGCTTATACTTTCTTGAAATACAATACCTTCTTAAAAGCGACTCATATTTTTGCACATCTGTGGGAAGCCAGTCTAAAACATACCGGTCCTACTTTTACGACTCTTGTATCATTCCGCGTGAGCTCTTTATACAAACACGTTTGCGTCTTCAAGACTCCAACGGTTACTGTCTGGGTTAAAATGGCCTCGAAGGACTTCTGTATTAACTTTATGGTGAACATTTGATACATAGATAAGTAATCTTTATGGAGTCAATATAATGCCACATATATATGCAAAATAATAAAGTTTTGCAAAAGAAAAGAAAGTTTTGCAAAACTTTATTATTTTGCATAAATATGTGGCATTATAGTGACTCCATAAATCTTAAATTAGAAGCAAGAAAGGAAAGCAAAAGAACAAGGAACTGGTAAGAGGCACAAAGCGCTGGATGAAAGAGAACTAAATATAGAGATAACTAAAATCGTATGCAGATTAATAATGATAATATAAAAATTAATTAAAACGAATACTTGTCGAGTTTTACTACGTTGCGTGTGCCATTTTTCTTAGCAGAAGCTGGGCTTATAAATATTTCGTTTCTACTTTCTAAGTATGACTGGCTTACTGTACGTTATACCATAAACATCTACTGACAAACAAATGCTATTTTAATTTATTAAACGTGTCACTCGCACTTAAAGGGATAGTTCACCCAAAAATAACAATTCTGTTATTATTAATTACTCACCCTCATGTCGTTCCAAACCCGTAAGACCTTTGTTCATCTTCATAACACAAATTAAGATATTTTTGATGAAATCAGAGAGCTTTCTGACCCTCCCATAGACAGTGTGACAGTAACCAATTAATGACAGAACTTTCCTTTTTGGGGGAACTATCCCTTAAAGAGCTATTACTATAAGACGACCGTACATAATACCTTACAAATCCTAATACTTAGTTACAAAATTTAAACGTCTTGAAAATGGTACAAAGGGTTTTTAAACGATCATCACCAACATAGATACAAAAAGCAGTTTTATAAACTCTTTTTAATTAGTGACTAGGCTAACTACATTGAACAGGTTTCACTATATTGGTGAGGACATTTAGACCTCACAAGTATATTCAAACCTGCACACACACACACAAACCTTTAATATCAATGTTCTCTTCACCAGTCTCAACAGATGCTTGTGGTCTCACATCAGACGCAGAAAGATGACATGTCACAGGAGCATCCATATGATGACCCATTCCCTTCATCAGGTGTGTTGATGTGAATAAACCTGTCAGTTTTAAATCTAGTTATCTGTATATTGACAAAGAATGTAGTAGAATAGGATTTATTTAGGTCTTTCCCACAGATAAAGTTGCTTTACATTTCAAAAGTCATAAATAATCACTTGGGAACATAATACCTTATTTCAAAAAGCGATTTAGTCAGCATGGCATTAAATAGGATTTTATTATTCATTATTCAGCATTTATTTCTGAGGCTTCAAATGGTCACACACACACACGTGAACCGTCTGTACCTCAGCCACCTTTTATATTAGACATTCAACATAATTTTTTCTTCATTATCATCAGTGCAAAAATGCTAATCGAGCAAAATAAGAAACCGCTTACTGTTATTCTCTAAAGTGTTTTAAAAAGCTATTTAAAAAGCCAGTGGTAAAACAAATAAATTAAATAGTAGTTGGCAAACCTTTCAGATCTCATAAACATATAAAACAAACCGTCTTAGCATAAAAGACTGAAACAAAGCAAAAGCATCAAGGGTTGAGGAATTTGAACATCTCAGTGAGGTTTCAGAGATAATATACATTGATTATGGACAGATTTTAGGTTGGTGAATATGGGAAGGATGACATTTGGCTTTGGAGTGCAAGGAAGATCTGCTCCAGTACTGGACACTGCATACCTGGCACTCGTTCAGCAATACAACAATTTAAACTCCCCACGTCTTCATGGGATTATATTACAGGTGTCTTTGTTCATCTCTTTTTTTTTTTTTTTGCTTTGTGAATGTGCAATAACAAAATAAGGCATCCACCTCGTCTACCTGAAGCACAAGTAGTTCTGCATTTCTGAAAGGCTGAAAACACACACACAGGCAAAACACATCCAATTCCACACAAGATATTTTTGGCATTAACGATACTCCTCATGAAAGCCTTCTGCATTCCCTTTCCTCACTCTGTCACTCATTTTTCACATTCTGCCGATCTCACTTCCTCACTCACTACTGCGACCATTTCCACGATCACTACCGCCCTTCACTTCCTCACTCTTTACCGCTCTCGTTCTCTACCGTATCCACTTCCTGACTCTTTATAACACTCACTTCCTCGCTCACTACTGCGACCATTTCCACGATCACTACCGCCCTTCACTTCCTCACTCTTTACCGCTCTCATTCTCTACTGTATCCACTTCCTGACTCTTTATAACACTCACTTCCTCGCTCACTACCACACAATCACTCCCTCACTCTACTGCTCTCACTTCCTTGTTCTCAACCCTGCTCACTTCCTCACACTCCTTACTGCTCTCGCTCTCTACCACATCCACTTCCTGACTCTATTCCACCCACTTCCTCGCTCACACCCACGACCCACTTCCTTCCCTACAGCTCTCACTTCCTTGCTCACTCCTGCAATCATTTTTTGGCTTACTACTGCAATCACTTCCTCACTCACTTCCTCTCTCTTCCACGCTCACTTGTTTCTTCGCTGCATATCATTGTTACTTCCTCTTCACACCCTACTTTATTATTTATGTACCTTACTCTACCTCGCTATATTTATCTGTTTCTCTTTCCTACTACTCTTTCCTAAAAATCCTTACTTTTTTATCATTCTTGATTTCATTCCCCTCTAATGTATCCACCTGTCCACATATTCATCTCAGCAGCTAATCCATCTGTATTCTACATTATTTGGGCATCCAAATTTTTTAGTCCCACTGAGATCTTTCCTATTATAATTTATCCCACATTTGAGCACCTACATAGCTTTCCACTCTGTTGACCCTCTTTAAAATAATATTAGATATCAGGAACAGTGTTACAAAAAATCTGCAGCGATTTTTCCTAATAAGTTTCAAGCATTGCAACCTTACATCAAATACCCTCAAATCACAATCTAACCATTGTAGACCATCACTTCCTCTTGAAGTCTTTCTAAACCTATACAGTCTTTTCTCAGTTTCAGACCTTCAACAATGCATCTTGGGAAGCCATTTTCAGTCTAGAAGGCATCTTATGAGAGGAGTTGCCACACACACTTTCACCAAAAAAATTAAATGAAATTAAAATCACAAACCAGCCACACCACACACTATCTCTACTGAACTGGTATCATCTGGAAACAGACAGGAAAACCAGAACTTAAGGATAGTGGTATACTGGCCGCTACTGTAGACATCTTTTCCCATGAAATTCCCAAAACATCTCAAAAGATTAGGGCTGGGCAAAAAAAATCGATTTTTCAATATATCTTTTTTTTTTAAATGTGGTCGATTCAATATCGATTCTCGAAGGCCACGAATCGATTTTTTTCAATATTTATTTCCACAAACATTGAACATAAGATTTACGTTAATCTTATTACTAGTCTAATCCACTAGATGTCACCCCCTTATTTGCCTTGCGCGATGTTACAACGGCGAGTCCGTCATTCATTCATGCTTAAAATGGCGGATTCAGGTGCATTCCCGACGTCAACACCACTTCACATAAAAAGTCAGAGGTATGGAAGCATTTTAGATTTCGCAAGCACGATGACAAAGATACTGTGGACAAGAACAAAGCTATATGCCAAACAGTTGATGGGCCCTATTGACGTGACTTCCATAGTATGGAGAAAAATATATGGAAGTCAATGGGGACCAAAACAGTTTGGTTATCCATATTCTTGGTTCCTCTGCCTTGGTGGGCCCCCACAGTCTTTGGACTTTGGAGTCTTGAGCCAAAAAAAAAAAAAATTCCCAAAGGCATAACAGAGTCACAGTTTTGGTGGGTAATGTAGTGTTAGCAGGGTCTAAATCACAGTATCTTTGGTGACTTTCCAACAATCTTATTAATTCAGAAGTCTTTTCTTCTGTATTTGTCTTTATACTCGTCAGTCCCTGGTGGGACTCTTGCTTCTCTTTCCAGTGCCCTTTGACCCTGCATTACTCCCTTTTCAGCAATCTGACACTCCAGAGAAGTCCAAGTTGGGGTCCCTGGTGATGTTCTTCCTCTGACGGACGGTCTTCTCTTCATCCTACACAAATGACTTTGTTTTTAATGTCACCTGACTTTAATTTCACTTAACTTTTAGAGCCTTATATAAAAGGTTGTGTGTGTACACTTACTGATGTGAAGATCCCATTTGGTCCCCATTCTCCAGGAGACTGGTCCTCAGGGTCTTCGGTCTCCTCCTCTTCCTCTTCCTCACACTCCTCCTCTCTCACTATGTCCATCCCGTCCTCCTCATACTCCGTCGCATAGTCAGACTCCTCTGCTAGACACATAAACATCAGTTAAGCACAATTACATGATATAATACCAACTCTGCTGGCCAAGGTTGTAATTTTAAATACCTCGTCAATTCTGTCATAAATTTCAGAAGCTAAATCTTCAAATAAATGTAATGGGGTAAATTAGCAAAGGAGTATTTTTTCTTTCTTTTGAGTAACTGACCATCAGCTCCTAAGTAGCTCTGCACCGGCTCGATCCTGGACACAATTTCAGCTAGATCAGTGAAGTCTGCACTAGGACATGTGCACGACTGAAACAAATAGCAACAAAACACAATCACTACAGAATGAAATTAATAGACAAATTACAACTTAATACGCAATTTAATAAAAAAAAATAAAAATTCATTAATCTAAAAAGTTTGGGGTAAAATTTTGTTTTGAAAGAAAGAATAATGCTTTTATTCATCAAGGATGCATTAGATTGATCAAAAGTGACAGTAAAGACATTTACATTGTTGCACAATTCTTTGTGAACTTTCTATTTATCAAAGGCTTCTAATATTCAATTTCAAAAGGGTGATAGACTAGTGGCTTGTTTTAATGAGATATTAAACTCACATCAGTCTTCTTGCTGTCGTTGTAGTCCGCTGAGCGATGGTCTTTCAACACATTTTCTATAATGTCCCCACGAGCCCACTCAGTAAACACTAGTTTACCATGTTGATAGCCCACATCCTTAGAGAAAACAGAAAAACTTAGAATATACCAGTTTTGAGAGGTCATTTACCATCTGGAAGAATTGCTTTATGTACACTATAATAAATACTATACTGCTTTTCATTTTATAGTATCAAGACTACATAGATTAATTGTCCCCCTGTGTTTACTGCAGATGTGGGCTTTTGTTCTCACATAGATTTCATCAAATTTCCCAAAGTCCATGGTCTTAAAGCGGTCGATGGGTGGCCGAATGTACTCGCAGTATGCGCTCTTCTTGACAAGTTCCAGCTGTCGTACACAAGATACGTAGGCCAAACGGGACTGGATTTCAGCCATGTCAGGCACCTGAGAGATACAGGACGTTTTTAAACCATTTACGCAGAGCTAGCACAATCGATTTCATAGACTGTACAAGTTCAAAATATTTCCTGAAGATTTTAATCCCATTAGAGGAACTCAAATTGAAACGGCTGCATTGGCTCCACAAGAAGTGTTCTAAAATCCCACAACATTGACTCACCTTCACTTTCTCCGCCCACGGGTTGATTCGTTTCCATAGCAGCCACCAGCCAGAAAGACTGTCACCGTAGTTACAAAGATCAGTCTCATCCTGGCTGCCCACATCGATGGCGATGACCGTTTTCGTGCCCATATTACGAGCTATGTCCGCTGCAGGGCGTTAGAGTGCCAGTTGAATGCAAACAAATGCACACGTACACAAAGACAGACATCCACAAGGTAGCAGGAAGAATCAAAGTACCGTTAATATTTCAGAATTAATTCTCCAATTAATAATTGATCACCAATCAACGCTGTTTAACCAAACCCCTCACTTGGAATGCTGCCATTTTCATCAGTAATATAATCAAATAAACATCAACGTTTAAAAGAATGAAAATTTTTGAATCAAATAGATTCTTTTTGCTTTTTTCACATTTGCTGAGAATTGTGGTAAAACAGCCTTGCAGGTGATCAGTAATAACAAAGGATGGAAAAAGACAATTATATTCAATGATGACAAGACAAGACGCAATTAAAACCTAACAATGTAGGCTTAAAAATGTATGCATTACCGAAAAAAAAAAAAAGAGTTAAGAACTATTCCCTGGAATTTTATCCAATCTGCTTTACAGGCAATAACCAGAGCTGGGTAGTAACTGATTACATGTAATCTGAATTACGTAATCATATAAAAAAAAAAAAAAAAAAAAGTACTTGTAATTAGATTAAATTACATTTTACATTTATGTAATTTGGGAGGCATTTGTCTTTCAAACACATTAAAATTCTTGTTATTTCTTATTTATATGTAAATTAGCATTAGCATGTTCACAGATCTCTGACTTTGGCTAATGGTCACATGACATGCAGGTACATTTTTAGTAAGTGTTTTATTTTGATTGATGTTATTTTACAATTATGTTAATTTTATATGTTTACAATTTAATTAATTATTAGCTTTTAATTCTCTCAAACACCCTGCAGTTCTTTTACGAACTCCAGTTTGGCAAACCTTGACAATATGAAGCACTTCATGTTGTTAATTATAACAAATAGAATATATTTTGACTTTTCTTTTTTTTTAATATCAATATGGTACAAGATTATACTATTTAAATCGATGTGATGAACAAGTTAGGTCAAAAAGTAATCTAAAAGTAATCAGAAAGTAGTCTGATTATATTACCTAAAATGTGTAATGTAATGGATTACGTTGCTAACTACAATTTTTGTCATGTAATTTGAAATCAGTAACGGACTACAATTTGTAAGTAATCTACCCAGCTCTGGCAATAACACAGATGATTTCAATGCAAGAAATAATTGTGTCTTTAGCAGTGCAAACTGCTTGATGAACTAATGAATTCAGTTATATTAAATCAAATTATAACACGGAATGTGATGTCAAATGCAAAATCTTGTCTTTTTCCCCTAAATTAAGATGTTCCCAGTTGAAATGCAACATCTGAGCTATATGAACTATATCTTTCTGCCCAATATATGTTGCACTGCAAACTGTGGGACATTATGCTATTGCTGTCTGGTGATTTGTTTTTTGGTTGATTTAGATTTTCTTTTTATATTTTGGAAACTAGTCCATTTACAATTTGACTACATTAAAGCACACTTTCCTATATTGTAAAGAAGAGATACAAAATATTTATAATCACAATTTAAGACCAATCGTACACCAGACAACAACAGCAGCTTGCAATGAATGATATTTACAGTCTGATAAAATTTCATGTTTTTAATAGGCTGGTGAAGACAAGAGGTCAAACACCTGAGCATCTTTGTCCACACCACCCAATCCCTGCAGAACTTTATCCATTTGTCTCTGTACAAATCATAAACTGATCTAAGAGACACTAGAATTGAGTGAACGTTTGAAATGAATTTAAAATGTGCTGGAAATCTCCAAGATGCCAAATTGACTAACTAACATATTAAAATAGACACACATTCTGAGTTCAAATGGATAAAGCAAAACCACTCATTCTACCCTCAAAATGATGAAGAAAATCAAAGTATACTTACTCCGAGCCATGTAGCTCTTTAAAACCAAAAATGAAGTGACTGACCAAACCAGATTGTGTTTCTGGCCCCAGCGGCCCTCTCTCTGAGGAGTTGCTCTGGGCCGTACTTGCCTGGCAGGTTGTTGATGTATCCTCCATCCATGAGCAGGTTTCCATCTTTAGGGTCGCAGAGGGGTGGCAGGTACCCGGAAAGGGTCATGCTCGCCCTGACATAGCGCCACAGGGAGCCTACCACACCAGGAGGGGACAATAACCTCTTAATAACCTCTAAAGTACGTCAACGTAACGCCTCAGCAGCGTTTGGAGGTGACCCTGAAGTCACAATTTTGGTTAGTAGCGCACAGACCAGCAGGGAGATACAGTGACGGTCACCCCAAGGACGGTGTGCGGTGGTTTAGTTTGGCCTACCTCATTCAGTGAACCCGACCTTGACAGAGGTTGAGTAAACACCCATGAGGTAAGGCTGACTTATCTTCCAACCCTGTCTCACTGGCTTTTTTCAATCAAAAACGATCAAATTATCATGGATCCTTTTTCTGTTATGCAAAAGATACAAATTGTGCTATTATTCTTACAGTTCATTTACTTAAATACATCATTATTAATCAGTAATGATGTATTTTTCAGGCAGAGAGGAGACAGAGTTGAAAAACAGTCAGTGAACATATTGGGCACTGCCAGCCTGTATTGGCCTGCAGTACTCCACTCGACCATCAGGTGTCAGGAGAGGCGTGACAGTGGCATGGGTTGGAAGGAGAGAGAAAATTCCAGAGAGGCAGGAGCATTCAGCATGTGGCACTCTTAAAGGGATAGTTCACCCAAAAATGAACATTCTGTCATTATAGAGTGCTGCAAGCATGGTGCATTAGTGTCGGCTGAAACCCCAAAATGAAGCAGCATTTTAGTACTTTCAGTTCCATCGTCCTGAAGTCAGAGGGGTTTTATATATATATAAGTTTTTGGTTAAATGCCTGAAATAAGGACTATAGTTAACACAAGCTAGCAAACACATGTTTTATTCTACAATGTAAAATACATTAGTAATACCATCTTCTCTGTTGGGGAAAGTTACTATTAAAAGTAATGCATTACAATATTGCGTTACTCCATAAAAAAAGTAACTAATTACGTTACTTAGTTACTTTTTATGTAAAGTAATGCATTACAATATTGCGTTACTCCATAAAAAAAGTAACTAATTACGTTACTTAGTTACTTTTTATGTAAAGTAATGCATTACGTTACTTTTGAATTACTTTTTGTCTCCTGAGCTGGGCAAAAGGTGTATTTTCGGCAACTGTAAAGGCTCTTTTACACCAAAAGTGAAATAAATAAGCCTCAGGCTGAAGGAAACACCTCTGCACTGATTTCTGTCAACATGGGGACAGAAGAGCTGTCGGTGAATAAATCGGAAAGCAAAGTAACTAGTGTTACTTATTTGAAAAAGTAACTCAGATATTTTCTTGTAAATAATGCGTTACTTTACTAGTTACTTGATAAAAGTAATCTGATTACGTAACTCACACTACTTGTAATGCATTACCCCTAAGACTAACCATCTTGTGGTTTTTAAAAAGCTTTTACTCGTTTTGAAGGATAGCTAAGATGTGGCTAAATGGGACTATAAAACATAATCTGGGACATTAAACATCATTGCACCGAATAGGAAAACTTATCTATTGTAGTGCTGTCAAATGATTAATCGCATCCAAAATAAGAGTTTTTGTTTACATAATATACGTATGTGTAATATACGTATGTGTAATGTGTATATTTATTATATAAATACACACACACACATGCATATATTTCAGAAAAATATGTTGTTTATATATTAAATATATTTATACTGAAGATCAGCACTGGCAAATACAGTGAGATTAAGTCCATTAAGTGTTTATATTAGTGCTGTCAAATGATTAATCGCATCCAAAATAAGAGTTTTTGTTTACATAATATATGTATGTGTATTGTGTTTATTTATTATAAATACACACACATACAGTATATATTTTGAAAATATTTACATGTATATACATTTATATATTTATATTTTACACTATATATAAATATATTTAATATATAAACAACATATTTTCTTAAATATATACATGCATGTGTTTGTATTTATATATAAATAATAAATAAACAGTACACATACATATATTATGTCAACAAAAACTTTTATTTTGGATGCGATTAATCGCAATTAATCGTTTGGCAGCACTAATCTATTCACTAGTTCACTTTCACAGTTTATAATCATGGTCTTGAAAAATATTCTAACTCAAACTTTTGGAGGGATTTTTTTTTAATTAGGAAGCTTAATTATGGTGACTTTGAAGTTATGTGACTGTGGCGTAGTTCGTTTATACTTCTGGCGATTGTATTTAGGCTTCAGAAATTATACACTGTGTTCATTTGCGATGATTATCGTGATGAGCAAAATGTACGAATTATAAAATCTTGTTTTTTTTTGTTGTTGTTGTTGACTGATCCAGGGGTGATGCTAATTTATGGGTTAGCCTACAAAAAATGTCACCACTGCAGCACTCCGTTTACTTAGCCTCGTGTTTATTAAAGACGGATAATAACAGATTTTTAATTTTGGGGTAAGTTACTGATTTAAAGCAAAAACGGTGCCATAAAGAGATCTGTCTGTGAGTCTGTTTAAAAGTTTGTGACATTCTTAATGAGTTATCCTATGTTGCTGACCATGCTGTAGGATCCAGAACAACACCTCCCAGTGACCCTTATCCTTATAAATATTGCATACATGTAGAATAATGGCCTACAATAGATAAACATGCAACAGCATGCACACAGAGTGTATGGTGTGCTTGTGACAGCCAAGCTCAGGGTAGATGGGAAGAGTTCATGTGATGTGAACATGATAGAAGAGCATGGGAAAAATACATCAGCCTGAACAGCAAAACAAATACGTAAACATGGACAAGCATCAGCAGCCATCATTTACTTTATCGATACCGAAAGTCACATCACAGCATCAGTGTTGGTCGTTGCTTCATGCAAATAAACATATGCAGTGGTTTGCTATAGCAACTGACACTAGGCTGCTAAACAATATTCACCAACCATACTGACACAGAGGCCTTATTAAAAAACACCTCAGTAAATGACAACAGCAAAAATCATTCTAAACATATCAATGCCTTGTTTTCCGTAAGCCTACTGTTGATTAATCAAATTTAAAATGCTAAATGAAACATCATGTTACAAAGCTAAAAGTTACTCCCATAACCATTACACATACTGCCATTGTAATAATGAACATAATGTAATGTATATGAACATATTTGTAACCATACATCAGCTAAATTCTATACTAATGCACAAGGAAAGGGAATCTGAGCATCAGGTGATTTGAAATCAATGGACTGGACTCTAAGTGTGCATAAAGTGTCCTTTACAAAAAAGCCAAACAGGGAAGAATGTATGGAACGATATTCCGGACAATTTTCAAAAGGAATTTCAAATTGTATTTTCAATTGCGTTTTCCATGTGTGGACGCATAAATTGTGACATAATCCAAATGCAATTGCAAATCCTGCATTACCGTTTGCATTTTCGCTTTCGCGAACGCACAGTGACTGCCAAATTTCAAATGAAAAAGCAAAGTCCATTTGCAACTGTATTTCCCATGTCTTAGTAGTTACGAGCCCGTCATATTTAAATAGCAATATTAATTACCACGTCTGCTTTTTCACTCTCGCTGCGTCGCGCATAACCTGCCAAAACTCAAATGGAATCGCAATTCCATTTGCATTTGAATTTCCGAGGTCTACATGGAAAGCTGCCAATCATCGTCAGGGGCGAGACTATACTATGGGGCGTGTTTGTATTGGGAGGTGACGTCACTCACAGACGACCGTGCCGAATGCTCTGATCAATGGAGGTAATCGGTAAAGGCTCCGCTAAAGGCAGCTACCAATCAGTTTCGTACCTGTGTGAACGAATAGACAGTGCAACCTTCTTGGCACAATACATAATGCTGTCTTTTTTACCCCAAATGTAGCGATTATCCCCTGCTAACAGCGGGAGCTACAACGGTACGCACAATAGGTCAATATTCACTATTAACTTTTCACCTGTCTCAGCATCTCTCACTGTTTACACTCACTAACACTTTTAATCCATAATAGAGAGCGTGTCTCAAGACCTTTTACCGTTTGCACTCCACTTGATGCACTTAAGCAAACATGCATCAAGTGGAGTGCAAACGGTAAAAGGTCTCGAGGCAGGTGTGACACCCTCTCTATTACGGATTAAAAGTGTAAGTGAGTGTAAACACTGAGAGATTCTGAGACAGGTGAAAAGCTTTTGGTTAATAGTGAATATTGACCTATTGTGCATACCGTTGTGGCTCCCGCTGTTAGCAGGGGATAATCGCTACATTTGGGGTAAAAAAGACATAATTATGTATTGTGCCAAGAAGGTTGCACTGCCTGTTCGTTCACACAGGTACGAAACTGATTGGTAGCTGCCTTTAGCAGAGACTTTACCGATTATCTCCATTGATCAGAGCATTACACGGTCGTCTGTGAGTGACGTCACCACCCAATACAAACACGCCCCCTAGTATAGTCCCGCCCCTGACGATGATTGTCAGCTTAACACTGCTTATGTAGACATCGGAAAGTCAAATGCAAAAGGAATTGCGATTCCATTTGAGTTTTGGCAGGTTACATGCGTGACGCAGCGAGAGTGAAAAAGCAGACGTGGTAATTAATATTGCTATTTAAATATGACAGGCTCATAACACATAAGACATGGGAAATACAGTTGCAAATGGACTTTGCTTTTCCATTTGAAATTTGGCAGTCACTGTGCGCACGCGAAAGCGAAAACGCAAATGGTAATGCAAGATTTGCAATTGCGTTTGGATTGTCACATTTTATGCGTCCACATATGGAAAATGCAATTGAAAATACAATTTGCAATTCCTTTTGAAAATAGTGAAAACGCAATTGAAAATACAATTTGAAATTCCTTTTGAAAATTGTCCGGAATATCGTTCCATAAGAATGGGTGTGAATAGAAAAACTGAATGTAAATTGTGCCCCTAGTGGTCCTGAGGGTAAATGACTTGAGTCATATTTCACCCTAAAAAATAAATTATATTTTGCTAAAAGAAAATGCAATAAGAAAATGTTCTCACTCATGGCAATTAAGCACGAAAAACAATTATTATGCATAAAACATTATATACATCTGGATTACGGTAATGAGAATATGGGGAATAATTGTGCTTAATTGCCATAAAAAATAACCACACTATGAAAAAAAACAATCTAGGCTTTATTTTATTTATGCAAAATCTAATTTCTTTTTTTTATTATTTTGGGATGAAATTAAATCTGGACATGTTTTTTTTTTTTTTAATCAGATTCAGCTAAATGTAATGTTTATCTTGGTTATAAAAGCACAGTCTCTCTCCTCTATTCTTTCTCTCATTGAATACTATCCTGGGTTCCTTCCAAGCCATGGGTTCCCAATGTAAGCAGGGGGTTAATTAGTTTTAAACAGGACAAGAGACAATAAAAAGCAAAGGGTAACTGAGTGGTTGGTTGTCGCAGGGATACTGGTGTAGCAGGTTTTTATAAACCTCCTTTAGGCTTCTAGAAGGCTTTGGTGAAAAGGGGGCAGAATCCTGACCTGGGACATTGTTAACATAGCAACCATCCACGAGGAGGTGGCCATCCTTGGGGTCGCAGAGCGGAGGCAGATAAGGGGTATAGGAGGCACTGGCTCTAACATAGCGCCAAACACAGCCTGGCAAAATGAAGATGGAGAGTAAATCAAAACTGGACAAGACGTGGAGAGAGACAGAGGAGGGAGGGACAGTAAACAACAGGAAACAGATGAGTGAGAATGAGACGGGGACCCAAAACTGTAGTTCTCCGCAGTTTCATTGACATCATGCTGAGATCTGGCTATGCTAATCAGACGACATTATTCCATTCAATGTAAACAAGAAAAACAAAACTTGATTGTTCTCTCATTTCTAAATGTCAAATACCATCAACACTTCTAACAGTGTGTTTACCTGGCCAAAGAGGGAATGAATGCTGAATATATGAATCTAAACTGCATTTATTAGAGATGACAGTCTATGCCATGCCAAATGGGCAAATAAACAGATTAGGAAAGGAGGCAGGAGAGGTGGAAGGGCCAAAGAGAGATCTGCAGGCTGTTAAGCATTATAGCACACAATAATGACAACAGCATGTTGACCACAGCATCTTCTCTGACAAAACTACAACAGTGTGATTTGTGCTTCTTGTGGGGAAAAAATATGTATTTTACTATGAAATTTCAATAAGTTGTAAGATTTTTTCCATGAATGAAAATCACCGATTTAAAATAAAATAATACGATTTAAATATTATTCAAAATAATGACCAACACGGTCACATGACAGTAAAGACATTTATAATGTTACAAACAAATATATATTTTTAAAAACGCTTTCAAACTTAGTTTGTTCAAAGAATTTTAACTAAAAAAAAAAAGAAGAAATGTTTCTTAAGTACCAAATCGGCACAGAATTTGTTTTATTAAAATGTATATATTAAAATAGATGTATATATAATAAAATAGGTATATTATTAAATTGTAATAATATTTTATAATACTACTGTTTTTGACAAATGAATGCTGCCTTGTGAACATAAAAAAAAATCTTACTGACCACAAACTTGCAAATGAGATGCATTTAAAGTTGCTGGGGGAAAAAAAAACAGAATACGTGCACTATCCATTGACAAAGCAATAGGTCTTGTAGCTCACAAAATCTTATTCAGTAATGAGACTTCAGCCTGCTAATAATCTCAATATGGCAACATACAGGCCATATTGCCCTACCCACATTTAACTACTATTGAATGAAAATCAGTGAAATGACTTTGAACTTGTTACTCTCGCATTGTGAAACTGAATGTAAGAAGACATTATAACACATTAGCACAACCTGACCAACATCCACAGCTGAGTGAAGGCATACTGTAAGTTGCAGTAAAGTCTTTGGACCTGTAATGTCTTATTTGTGCAGTCAGTGTGAGAATAAGCAATGCTGCAACAGCAGAATGAAGAGGAAATGGCATTAAGAGGGCAGGGGGAAGCAAATGGTTGATGCATTCTGGATCCTACAGACACTACTAAAAGGGGTGAAAAAGGGGTTTTACCTTCTACCACAACTAATAGTGTATACTTGACATGATGGGCATTTAGAATATAATAGAAAGAAAATAGTGAGATAAAGATGTGTGAAAAGGATGACCTTGAATGAGAACTTAGCCTTTTCTATGACACAGAGGGTAGGACAGAAGGAAGACGGACACTTTGACAAAAAAGGGAGAGAAACATAGTGGGAAAGAAAACAGAGACAAACTTTGTCCTTGCAGTTAGTGAGACATGCAAATTCAATTCCATAATCCACCTGGGCAAACACAGGTGAACAACACATGACCATTACAAAGCCCCCAAATCCAGCATTTTTCAGCATTAAACTGTAGTCAGTGTTTTTACCATGATCATGAATTGATTTAGCCAGTGTGAATGAACTTATTTTAATCAGGAAACAGATATACGTTCAACTAAATTTGGGGACCAAACCCAGAATTCAGAGATGCATGATATGCCACTGGTCAATCCCAAAATGTATTCATGCATTTGACAAACAGAGTTAAGGAAATTAATCACTTCAGTAACATCTCGATTTCATGCGAGTTAACAGGCATTAATGAAATGGGCATTTTCTAGATCTCTCTCAGAAGCCATCAGTTATTTCAGACTTTTCAGCAAATTGCACAACCCACATGCAACATTAGCTTCTCTTTCCCGATCATTACAAGTTGAGAATGTACATAACCAAACACCAAACAACTTGAACATCCCAAATATCTATCATTTAACAACCAAGGTTCATTTTTAATAGCATTCAAACGATAACTGCTGTAAACTTTTTTTGGTTGTTATTTTTATATCAGTTATTGACAATGACATTTACCAAAATTATTTAATTATTAAATTATTAATAATTCCTAAAATATGTATATTCCAGAAGTCAAATGCCCCTAACATGAAACCTTGAGGAACCCCACATTAAGAGGACAAAGTTCAATCATCACTCACCATCTTTATGAACACGCATAGCAGAAGCTGTGATGTCTGTGGTCACGTTAAAGTAAGGCAGCCACAAGTCCTACAAAAAAAAACACGATATGTTGTCATACATATGATAATCACCCTTCCTAATTACATTAGCTATTATGAAGATGAAAAACGTTAAATAAAGTAGTAATATAGATCAATTAAAACTGATAAAATGCATCTTTTAGGAGCATTAGGTTAGATTTCTGAAACAAGTGCACCTCCAAAAGAGTTTTGGTGACTTCTTACCTCGATTTGTTTGTCCTCAAAGACTTTGGAGATGCTGGTGTTGAAGGCGGAGCCAGAAAACATGGATGTGATTGGATAAGTAAGATCCAGTACCGTTTTGAATACGGAGTTCATTGCCTGAAGGCAAAAGAGATATGAAATTAAATTTCAGTGATTAATAACTAAACATCTTCTATCTTATCTGATTGCTCAAAGCAAGGTAAACGGTGTCAGTTAACGGATAGAGTCACATTACCTTGGACCACTCTCTCGCCCTCTGCTTGACCCTAACAGCACTTCTCTCCTCTGCATACAGAGCACCAATGAATGAGCCAATGGAAGTTCCTCCCACTATGTCAATGGGAATTCCTGCTTCCTCCATGGCTTTGATTACACCAACATGAGAGCAGCCCCTGCAAGATTGAACATCATGTTGACCACTTACAAAGACCAGGGTTATTATTTTTAACTAGAACTTTTAAAAACAAAAACTAAATAAAATAAAACAAAAACAAAACATAAATATGAGATAAAAACTCAAACTACACAAAAATTAGAAATGTTGCCTTAGCAACTTACTGAAGTAAGTTAAAAAAAAAAACACTAAAATTACTAACTGGATAAATAAAAACTAAATCTGAGCTAAAACTAAAATTAATAAAAATACTTTAAATCTAAAGAGTAACATTAAAAACAAACAGTAGTAATATATAATAATATATATTTTTTAAATGACAAAAGCACACTAAAAATAGCTAAAAATAAAAGCAAATAAAAAAACGGTATATAAATTAGACTAAAATACAACAGACATGTCTGAAAATAAGTGAATTGAAAAAGCCACTTTCCAAAGCTTTGGATCCGGCAAGCCTCCAAGGTTAGCAAAAACCATTAAATTTGTTATGCGCAATCCTGCAGGGAAGGAGACTAAGGTAGAGCTGCGGATCATATTATCTCCCAATAATAAGACCATCTCTGGTATTACAACTGCTTGAAGTCACTGACCTGGCTCCGCCTCCACCCAGCACAAGGGCTATGCTGTTTCCTGTGAGTACTCTGGCCAGCCGTGAGAAATCACTGTGTCTGTCTGCAATCTTCTCGAAAACCTTTTCATATACCTCTCGCTGTTTAAGGCAACAACCACATCCTTATCAAACACAAGGGTTATTATTAACAATTTTTGTTCTTTAAATCAACAGAAAGCTACACGTTACCAGTTTGGAGGGGCTTCTTCGTGAGAAAACTCTACGAGGGCACTTTAGGTGAAGGTGTCCAGAGCACCAGCTTCGCATGTTCAGCCATTCAACGGTTCTCGACGGACCCGGCCCGTCCTCACGATGCAGCAGAACCAGCTGCTTCAGGGCCCGTACCGCTGTGTTCTCCAGCATCTGCTCCAACTGAGAAGGTAAGAACATGGGTTCATGGCATTTGAATCAGAATTCTGATTGGATCAGCTCCATCTGAAGTTATTCGAACCACTAGGGGTATCTTTGGATAGACAGTGAATTGATTCAAGATTGAGAAGTTCTTAATTTCAGGAATGATTTTTGCAAATTCAGAACAATTTGATTCGATCTGATTTAGGGTTGTGTCAATGGACGATAGTATCGTGTATCGACAACAGTCAGAGATATCGCCTGTGGCTGATGCCTTTGACGATAGCAAGACGATTATTATAATTATTATTATGGCTGGAGATGGTTCACTTTCCGGCAATGAAACCAAGTAAATAAATAATTATATAAATTAATATCGGCGATCTCACAGGCTGACGATAAGACGATATGTAAATTGAGCATATCGCCCAACACTAATCTGATTCACAATGAGATTCGTTTTAACTCCATTCAATTTAATGAGTTGATTCTGTATTTTTTTAAGTACATTCACAGAATTATGTAACTACTTCTAATGCATCTTGGGTACAAAAATGCAAACTATTTAAAATGCTTATTGCACCAAGCAACTTGAAAGTAAACACTTTAAATTAGGATGACCATACGGGTCATTTTTACGGGACGCGTCCTTCCCAGGATTTCTGTATTGCCTAAAATATCCAGGTTTTAGCGGTTTGCAATGTGCAGGGGTGCGTTTCCCAAAAGCATCATTAGCCAACTATGGTCGTTAGTTCCAATGAACTCTATTGGTAACGACAGAACTTGCGGCCATAGTTGTTTTTGGGAAACGCACCCCAGACCGATCGTTGTATGACATTCACGAGAGCTATAGAGAGCAGAGCAGATGGCTGCTTATGCTGTCGAACTGCTCTCACGGTACTCATTCAATGATCGGTGCGCAGCGACGCTTCAAGTCGAACGAACGAACAAACATGCATGCGTATTTGCATCGCTCTGATCGTTCTCTGTAGATCTCACCTTCTCACGCACCACGATTGGTCGATTATATACAATACCTGCCTGCATATTATTGGTCAAACTACTTTGGATGTTTTAGGCAGTATAAAAATCCTGGCCAGGACATGTCCCGTATAAATGGCACATATGGCCACCCTACTTTAAATACATGTACATACAGGCTACTTGGAATATAACAAAGTGTACAATGTGCTGAAAAGAATTTATGCTTAAAAGATTTTATTCATTTCCATGAGTTTTTCTGCGAGTCATTCAATTTTCAGCATTTTAAATCAATTCTTCAAAAGTGATTCACGATACAAAAATCCACATTTCAAAATCAATTCATATGCACTGACATGATTTGTAATTGTTAACCAAAAGTTGTGCCTTGCATAAGGTGAAAAGTAAAATTTCCCTGTGGGGTTTCAGCTTTCAACATTTTGGATACCAGCTCTGATCTTCAATCACTTCAATCCACCTCACACATTTCACATGAGAGTGGACAGAAACAACACTAGACTGAAACGAATACCTCTCCAAGTGCAGGTTCCTGGTCTCCAAGCCCCACAATGAGGATACAGTCAGCTTGTCGGATACAGCGTTGAGTCCATGGGGTCATACTGCTGTCCGTCTGATAGAGCACTATACGATTAATGTCCTCCTGCTGAGCCAACCAACCTGATAACCTGTACTCATGAATACTAGAGAAAAATTAGCGTTTCAGATTGCAGTTTTAAAAATGAATGCGATGTTCTGATCTCATATATAGGCCTACATGTCCAAAGCAGAAGCTCCAAGTCTCTCTCTGATGATGTCACTGGTTAGCAGCAGGGTTGGTCCTGATTGAAGGATGAAAGTGTGTTAGATTATGGGTCTAGATCATGTGCTTTAATTGTCAATCACTGCTTAAGTTTACCTATGGCACTGAGGGCATGGCTGAGCTCCAAATTGAAGGCACTGATTGGCACCTCATCACAAACAGGAAGCACGGCCACAGTGGAGAGATTACTAGCTGGGTTAGTGACGTCCGGACTCGACGCCACACTTGGCAGACCCAGAGCGGAGCCTAGAGAAAAGGATTAATTTCTTTACTCTTTCTTTGTTTAAACACATAGAAAAGGCTCCGCTTCCTGTTCTTTGTTCCTAAGATGATATTTCTTCTCAAGCTGGACTTTACTGAAGCATTGAATGCGATGTGAATGATTAATGTTTGGTTTTTGGACGTACTTGAGAAAGGTCCACGGGGCTGTTGGAGGTTCCCCAGAATCTTCTGCCCCAGCAGATGGATCAAGCGTGTCACCACCTGCGGGTATCTTCTCTTAATGTTGTTGAGCGTTCCTTCTGGAAGCTTCACCAGCTCAGTGTCTCTGACTGCATGGACTGTGGTGGCACGAGGCTGCCGAGTCAAAGCCTCCACCTGAGAGAAACAGAGACAGTTCAGCGATCCTAAATTCAGTTTAGATTAGTTTAGACCCTTTAGCCTTCATTCCAGAGCTTTAGACTCACAACTCCAATGAGATCTCCTCTGCCATACTCTCCAACAAGCTCCTTCTTCCCATTCACTTTTTGGATGACAGAACGCAGTCGCCCATTCAGCACAATATAGGTACAGTCGGACTGATCATCTTGCCTATGGACCGCAACAAATTTAATGATATTAATTACTTGCATATTGACTGAACATGTACACTACTGTTTGGTGTCACAATATTTTTTTGAAAGAAATTAATACATTTATTCAAAAGGGACGCATTTAATTGATGACAGTAAAGATTTTTACATTGTTACAGAAAGATTTAGATTTCAAATAATTGCTGTTCTATTCATCAAAGAATCCTGACAAAAAAAAAAGTCATAGTTTCCAGAGAAATATTGAAATATTGTTTTCAACACTAAGCCAATAAGCATATCAGAATGATTTCTGAAAGATCATGTGGCACTGAAGACTGGAGTAATGATGCTGAAAATTCAGCTTAATAAATTACATTTTTTATATATTTCAACAGAAAACAGTTGTTTTAAAATTTTAATAATTTTACTATATTACAGTATTTTTATTATATAAATGCAGCCTTGGTGAGCATAAGAGACTTCTTTTAGAAAATATATATTTTTTAATTTTACTGTAAAACCAAACATTTGAACGTTAGTGTAGAAAAATAAAATATACTAAAAGTATACATAAAAATAATATTTCTTAAGATTTATTATCTAAATTAATTGTCCAAACAACATTTGTCATTTATTCAAAGTTATATTTGAAGTATTACCTGTGAATGTTTTCAGCTAAAGAAAATGTTACAATGAACTGAAAAAACAAAACAAAAAAAAAAACATTTTATGTGAGAGAGTTATGGTACCTGTACAGGGCCCGCCCGGCTTCAACAGCCATCCAGTCAATGGCAAAATCCATCTGCCGTACAAACGGGGACATGCGGATAGCCACGGTGTGAGCTGCACTGAGAACTACACTTGGCTGCTCACGCATGATCCTACAGGGGGCAGCACAATCACAGACAATATGACTCTGCTATCTACTAATGGAGATTTGTTCTTTGTGAGATTTGCAATAGGTAGAGTGCCATCCAAAAGACTGAAGGTTTGAGAGTCTGTGAGAAATCAACTGCATGACTATATAGAAACACTCACTCATAGAAGTTAGATTTGGAGATCTTGAGGTAGGTACAATCACGCTCAGCTTTGATGGTGAAGATGAGCGGCTCTCCTGTGAGTACAGCCAGTTGTCCAACCATCTCACCCAGCTGGGTCACAAACAAACACACTGCTTCCTGCTTGTCAATCATCTTCTGATAGACATGAAGACAACCAGACAGGACAAAATGCAGACTCACATCCTATAGAAAAGAAGAGGAAGAAACGGTATTACAAAGATTACAATAGGTTTCATCAGTATAAGAGATCTAAGGTTTGCCAAATAAACTGGGCAGAAGAAAAGAAATGAGAATGAGCACCTGGTCTCCCTGTCTGGCTAACACAGATCCAGCTTTAGCATGATGAAACGTCACCCTCCCATTCAGTAGCGCAGGGTCCTGATGATGAAAGAGGGCATATGAGGAAAGGGCATCACCCCAGTCCAGCAAAAGAGAGACAGGTGTGACCGTCAGAAATCAGAGAACTACAGTGAATGTGAAACTGCTTCATTTTACCGGACTATGAACTTTGACAATAAACTGTACCACACAAATACAAAAACATGCCTCAATCTTCATGAGTTTGAGAATCTCTTTCTGGGCCTCCTCGAACAGTGTAGCATTAGGTCGTCCTTGAAATGGACTAAAAATGTTCTCCATTCCTGACTCCTCCTCAGGATACAAATACACACTTGAAGGAACCTCATCCACTGTCACCTTCCTCTCCCGCTGCTCCTGTGTCACAGAAAACAAGCATGATGTCTTTAGACTTAAAGGCTGAGTGGTTCAGTACTTTTTGTGGGGGTCATATTTCAGTGTAAATCCAAAAGGTCTTTTTTTTTTTTTTAAATAGAATTCTTACTCTTAATGATTGTTCTCATTAGACTCTAATTACTGTAATACAAACTATGTTAGTATGTGAAATGTGTTAAAATGAGTGTAAAAAAACCCACTCGTGTGAAAGCAGGTGGAGCTTTCCTCAGCAGATTTTCCTCTCCATCCTCAGCAGATACAGAGATCCGGCCTCTCTCATAAGCCATGTCGAAATCTGAACGCAGACTCTTCTGAATTCCTTTACGACATACATAAAGTTCAGCAATAACATCACAGCATGACACCAACATAAGCATGATACATCATACATTTTTATATTGTATAAATTATGTTTTATATACAGGTGCATCTCAATAAATTAGAATGTCATGGAAAAGTTAATTTATTTCAGTAATTCAACTCAAATTGTAAAACTCGTGTATTAAATAAATTCAATGCACACAGACTGAAGTAGTTTAAGTCTTTGGTTCTTTTAATTGTGATGATTTTGGCTCACATTTAACAAAAACCCACCAATTCACTATCTCAACAAATTAGAATACTTCATAAGACCAATAACAAAAAACATTTTTAGTGAATTGTTCGCCTTCTGGAAAGTATGTTCATTTACTGTACATGTACTCAATACTTGGTAGGGGCTCCTTTTGCTTTAATTACTCTAATTTATTGAGATGCACCTGTATACACATAACATGTAACTGTATAAATTCTATAATATTATGTATATTGTACACATTTTAATAATATTATAATATACACTACTGTTCTAAAATTTGGGTTCTGTTTGATTTCTGTAGGTTTGTAAAAGAAGTCTCTTATGCTCACCAAGGCTGCATTTATGTGATTTAAAAAAACAGTAACAACAGTAATATTGTGAGATATTATTATAATTTAAAATAGCTGTTTTCTATTCTAATATATTAGTTTTTCTTGTGATCTCAAAGTTGATTTTTCAGCAGGCTTGAAGCAATCTTCAGTGTCACATGATCCTTCTGAAATCCTTCTGATATGCTGATTTGCTGCTCAAGAAACGTTTTTTTTTTTTATTATCATCGATGTTGAAAGCAGTGATGCAGCTTTTTGTGAAAATGGATACATTTTTTCAGGATTCTTTGATGACTAAATATTTAAAAAGAATAAATTGATAAAAATAGCTTTTGATAAATTGAATGCATCCTTGCTGAATAAAATGATTCATTTCTTGAAAAAAACAAAAATCTTACTGACTCCAAACATTTGAACGGTATTGTATGCACCTACCTGCGATGTCTACAGGCATGGATATGGTCCTACTGAGGGTCGGTGTTGTGCCACCATCCTTCCCATGATCCCCACCTGCAGACACTCACTGTTAAACAAAAATCTAAAGGCCTAACATCTCTCAACACAAAGAACTTGAGGCGTATAGTAAATAAACAGATATAATGATATTATGCCTCACCAGAAGCATTTTGAACAGCGGCCTCACGATGTTTATCAGGAACGGTGAGACTGCCAAAGCGTTTGCTGTGTCGTACCGGACTGGAGCGTGTTGCATGAGGAGAGGTAGGAGAGGGACGAGCCTGCATGTCCTAAGAGAAGATTGACAGAAAGGAAATAGTACATATTTTGGATAGTATAAAATAAAAACTACTATAGTTTTTGTGTGCTAGCAACCAATCATAAGAAAGAAAGCGAGTGTGCATTGAGTGTGGATGTGTGTTCACTCACATGGCTGAAGAGCTCATTGGTGAGCCCCAGATAGTTGTGCAGGGCCAGAACAGTCACTCTCTGAAGACGGACCATGATGATCTGCAGAGAGGACACAACAGGAAACATATTCTCAATTATGAGCAGTGTCCTCACAGACAACAATGGAAATTTCGGAGCAATTTTAAAATTCCAGACCTGAACCACCCGCACAAGGCTCTCTGGGTATTTCTCAAAGATAGACAGAAAGGCATCGACAGGCAGTCTGAGGACAGTGGACACTTCTGCCGCTCTCGCTGAGACAGTTTTATAAGGTCTCTGGTGACCCTGAAATACACAAACGTTCAAACCTGTGAATTATGCATAATATCCAGAATATGACATTTCCTGTGAGCATTTTCACAAAAATTGCTACTTGACCTTCTTATGGGGCAATTTCTAAGAAAAGGGAAGAAAAAGTGAAAGAAACAGGAACAGGAAAGAGAACAAAATAAAGGTTGTATAACACTTTCTAAAGTAATTGGGTTTCCTGTGCTGTTAAACAGCATGAGCACACAGAGACTGGAATTGTGGGTGTGACTCACTGTGATGACATCAAGGATGCTTAGCAGACTGTGAACACTGTCTCCAGGGTAAACCTCTTTGACCACTCCATCCTTTCCATCCTTATTGGAAAGGCGAGTCCAGGGTTATTAGTTAAATAAAACAAACCATTAAAAAAATAATGTTGCTTCAAATAAAATAAATAGAAAAAGGTGGCAGTTGCCAAGGAAGCATTTCTCATTTTCGTTTATTACTAAAACGTTAATTCAAATTAAAGGGATAGTTCACCCAAAAATGAAAATTCTGTCATTAATTACTCACCCTCATGTCGTTCCAAACCTGTAAGACCTTTGTTCATCTTCGGAACACAAATTAAGATATTTTTGATGAAATCTGAGAGCTCTCTGACCCTCCCATAGACAGCAAGGATCCTTACATGATCAAGACTCAGAAACGATGCAAGGATCGTTAAAATAGTCCATGTGACATCAGGGGTTCAACCGTAACATTACGAAGCTACGAGAATACTTTTTGTGTGCAAAGAAAACAAAAATAACTACTTTATTCAACAATTCGTCTCCCCCGCGTCACCCTATAGCGCCATTTTGGAGAGTATCACATACGTAAATATATAACGCATATATATTCATAACGTAACGTGACACATAACGTATGCTGTTCTGTGTCAGCAGCACCGTACGCAGATACGCTGTTTTTATGTTGTCTATGCTTTGATCTGAACGTACGCAACGTATCCGCGTATATACGTTGTTTACGTATGTGATACTCTCCAAAATGGCGCCAGGGCGACGCGGAGGAGACGAATTGTTGAATAAAGTCGTTATTTTTGTTTTCTTCGCGCACAAAAAGTATTCTCGTAGCTTCGTAAAATTACGGTTGAACCATTGATGTCACATGGATTATTTTAGCGATTTCCTTGCTACGTTTCTGTGCGTAGATCGTGTAAGGACCCTTGCTGTCTATGGGAGTGTCAGAGAGCTCTCGGAATGCATCAAAAATATCTTAAATTGTGTTTCGAAGATGAACGGAGGTCTTACGGGTTTGGAACGACATGAGGGTGAGTAATTAATGACAGAATTTTAATTTTTGGGTGAACTAATAACCCTTTAAAATAAAAACAGAAAATATCAAAACTAATTCAAAATATTAATAAAATCTATAATAGTACCTCAATGATACTAAAATAAAATTGGATGAGTGATTCACACACCTGTCCAGTAAGACACAACTCCAGCTTGCCATCCTGTACCACATATATGCTGCTATCAGGCTGACCGGGTCTGAAGACATATTCGCCCTGCTGGAACTGCAGAAACACCATGTGCTTACACAGCTCCAGAAACAACGGCTTCTCGAAGTGACCCAACACACTGCAGGAGACACGCCAGACCAAAAACATACATTATATATATATTATTTTACATTCCATAACGCATGGGAGTGGTCAAGCTCTCTTTAACATCACTCTTGATGTGAATCAATTCAGAAACAATGAGAGCGTACCGCACGTTCTTCAGCATGTAGAGCACCTCAGATGGCAGGTGAGAATTGGCCACGTCAAACTCTGTGAGATCTGCCTCCAGCACTGACGGAGGAGGTTCCTTCATCTGCAGAGTGGGCACTTCCTTCTTAAAACGCAGGATCCTGAGAAACACACATGCTATTATACCTGATCATCTGAGCCAATGAATATGACCCAATAATGGCCTTACAGAAACGTACTTTTTGGCAATGTTCAGCATCTTCTGTTTCTTTTTGAGGCGGGGCCTGGAGGAAGAAGTGGAGCCCACTAACGAAGAGGTGGACTGAGACACCTTCCTCATAATCTTCCTCCCATAAAACAAGACTTTGTCTCTTTTACGAAAACGATACTTCGGGGCTTCCTGAGCCTCAAGTTCTGAGAGAAGAAAACAAGCAAATATATATAAATGAATTTCTGCAAGTTTTATGAAGTTAAATTTAAGACTAATTCAAGAAAATTCAAAGAATAAATTAAAGGGAACACAATACGTCTATATGTTCTCTAAATGTATATGGAGAACACAGTGAATATTATCAGCACTTTATTATTATACATTTAGATTACTTGATCATTTCACAAAGCAAAGAAAGTAGAAATATAAGAAACATTCATTTGACATAAGAGTTTTTGAGAACTAACTGCGGAGCTGCATCCTGCGCATGACAAAAAATATGAGGGCAGCGATGAGGACGATGACGACTCCAGCGCCAATTATTATTCCCACCACCTGGACAGAAACAAGACAGTGAGAAATCAGGAAAATTTTGTATCAGTTTGTATACATGCGTCATGAAACCAGGGTTGGGCAACATTCAAACCAGATTTAAATTTTAATTAATGGCAGCATTTATTTAAAATGCTGTAAAATGCTTATTTAATACTGTCAAAACTAGTGACATTAAGGACATTAATAATGTTACAAAAGATTTTTATTTTAAGTAAATACTGTTCTTTTTAACTTTTTCAAAGAATCCTGAAAAAATATATCCCAGTTTCCACAAAAATATTAAGCAGCAAAACCGTTTTCAACTTTGATAATATGAAATCTCTTAATCAGCATATCAGAATGATTTCTGAAGGATCATGTGACACTGAAGACTGGAGTAATGATGCTGAAAATTCTGCTTTGATCACAGGAATAAATTACATTTAACAATACATTAAAATAGAAAACCGTTATTTTAAATTTTAGTAATATTTTTCACAATATTGTTGTATACAAATGTCTAAATGTGACATGTCAGTATTTATTTGTAACTCATAATTAAAAATGAAATATCTGCACAATTCTGCAAAGGCTATGATTCAGTGTATGAGTGTTTACTGACCATGCTGGTCTGCAGGTGATCCTCCACTAAACTCTTGATGTTTCCAAATCTGTCCAGCTACAAAACACACAGGATGTTAATATAGCCAGCTTTTATATGAGAACACAACCCTGGGGTTAAAAATGAGAACATGAGGGGGAAAAAAGACTAGCTATAGATCAGGCTCATGAACTGAGAGATAATGAATAAGTGAAGGACTGGAAGAGAAGCTTGCAAAAGGTAAATGCATTTGTTACTAGAACACAATTCTGTCCCATAATTATGTAAACCTTTCCTCTCAATTGTGCCTTCATTCCTTCAACCATTCCCACTCTGTCACTCTCCTACTCACTCATTCCTCTCTTTCTCAGCTCATGCATTTTCAATAAAGCATTGTTAAGAAGGCCCATAGTGTTTCTAAAGTGAACAGCAGAACTGTTTCTACAGTAGCTTAGTATGCTAAATGTAGAGTCAGTTATAAATGAAATAATAATGAATCTTACACAGACATGATAAATGCACTGGAAAAATGATTTTCTTAAGAGGGTTGTCTTGTTTTCCTGTAAAAATATCTAGGTTTGGAACAACTTGAGGGTGAGTAAAAGATAACAGAATTTTTATTTTTGGGTGAACTATCCCTTTAAACCAGTTCATCCTGACTTCATTTTTTTTGTTGTTGTAAAGCATATTTGAAGTAAAATTTATTATATATTCTCTGAAAACCATATCTTAATATCTTACGCAGCTGTGCTACTCCAGTAAATTGTCGTTAAAGAGTGTTAAGACTTTTATTGCAGAACAAGACAAAAATACACAGCACATTTTTTTTCTAAAAGCATTTTTGTCCCGTTTTTAGTCAAATATCTCAACATCTTTAAAACAACATGAAATGAAATTGAAAATGACATAAGATACAAAGTCTTGTTTAACTCACTTAATTTTGATATTTATTTAGAAGACTTAATAATACCTTAAATATTTTTGCTTTTTGCTACCTTGATTTAAGAATGTTTAGTTAATTGTACTGTAAATAATCAAAAATACTGAGCAGTAATTTTTTTGCAGTAATGATTAAGATTTTTATTTAATTTTTTATTGATTTATTGTTGCAGAGAATGATGGAAATTAACTTCAGAATGAGCTTTATTCGCCAAGTATGCATTGCATTTATTGTATATAAGTGCGACATTCTTGAAAATAAGGAAGTACTTGAAAACAGAAGTGGTGGTATATCGTCAGTGTCTCTGGTGGAAACCACACAAGCGTGTAAGATGTTAACACATCCTCTGACTTTATCATTTTTATGAATTCAGAGTGTACTTAGAATCTCTCTCAAATGTCACTTACATTTGTATTACAGGAGTATCTGCCCATTGTCTTAAAGGTGCACTACATATTTGGAGTTACAAAGATAAATTAGTGTGATCTCAACATGGCAGAGACCCACCATATGTCTTATTAATGCACTTTTCACCTCAAGTGGATATACATTATTTGAATCATATTTTCCAAAAAATACTGTTAATTTCACAAACTTTTATCCAAACATTTTAGTGCACTTTTATCAAACCTTAATATAAACTGTTTATGGACTGAAAAATGCATGGACAGTCCAACATTCAGATGTGTCATAAGCAAATACGTCCTTGTGATTTGTAATCTTTGGACCGAGATATGAATTTGTGCAATTCTGCATGATTAATCCAAGGCATCTAGTTGCATCTTCTAACTAAACTCTCACTTTGCCCATCATGACAGAGCAAAAAACTGTTCTGTTCAGCATTACAGATCACACCAACAAACCTTCTTAAACAAGTCACATGATCACATTAGCTGCAGACAATCTGCCCTGCTACAAAACACAGCTGTCAATGACTTACACAAAGAAGATTTGAAAGAAGAAAAAGAATCTCTTTAAAAGAGATTTGAAAGAAGATTGTAAAACAAAAGTGAACAACTGCTGATATTGACGAATGAACAGATTGGTGGAAGCAGGGGCGGGGTTTCTGGAGGAATGTAAATGAGGTGCAAGGTGCATGATGGGAAAGCAGTGTAGCTGCTTATGAATAAAGAGATTCAGCAAAGAGTCTTAGTCAAAACGTAAGGGATTTTCCCTCTATGCTTCTCTATGGGTTAACGTCTTTTTAACTCAGGACTGAGAAATATTTTATAGTTGTAAAAAAAGTTTAACAACACACAACCTTTCATAAATGCCTCAATAAATATTCATGCACTTAGTAGACAATGGAACGGATTTACAGCAGACTTTTCCACAGGTCGACAAACTGTTATCAAAACAGGCAGCTCGCTTGTTGTGTGCTGTACTAACCGTGAGAATATGTAAATGAGAACATTAACCAAGGGTTTTCAAATGTAAATTGGGCCACAGTGTAATTTGGAGTCAAAATTGCACTCACGTTGAAACATGTGAACGCTCAGACTGAGAGCGTTCAGGTTTGTGAATGTGTGTGAGGTAGGGCTGTCAAAATGACTGAAAAACTAAATTCGAATTTTCTACTTAAATATAATCAAAATTCGAATTATATTCGAATTTAAAAAGCATAATTTCAGTTAGGGGGAAAAAGCTTTTGGCTTCTCTCCTGAGGCCACAAGAGGGCGCATAGAGCAAAATATTATGCACGTTTCTTCAAAGCGTAATAAAATAACATGACTATCTTTGAAAAAAAGTGCATAATGTTTAAAATAATGTTTATAAACCATATATAACTAATAAAGTTGCTTAAACAATTAGAAAAAAAAAACAGCACCATGCATGTATGTATAGTTTAATACAAAGGACTGAAAACCAATCACAAAGAGTAGGCTACTTTAAAAACATTTAAACATTTACATTTAAAAACATGAGATGTTGGGGGGAAACCGCCATAACGTCTTTAGACATGTTTTTTAAAAGTTGAACTTGCATTAATTTTACATGGCTTTCTAAACATGTGGCTCTCTTGTGCGAGACGCGAGTGCAATGC